GAAACGTTGGTTAACATCGACTAGACTACACAGCGCAACAACCCAGAAGACAGAAATCTTCATACTCATTGCCCTGATGATGGAGGCAGTATGACCTCAGAAACGTTGGTAAACATCGACCAGACTACACAGCGCAACAACCCAGAGGACAGAAATCTTCAAAGTCTCATTTGTTACCTGTCTACCCATAAGTTTTCCTCTTCGGTCTGTGTCCACTCTTTTCCTACCTTCAGTTATACTGAATTTCGTTAGAATCAGACAGACAGCTTTTGTCGCTCAAAGTCAGGGTATATCTTGACCAGCTAAGTCACTTGACGGACTTTTCGACGAATACCCTGCACCTTAGGATTAACTGGCTGGCTAATTAGAAATATTGGTATTTTAGGTTGTGTTCATAAATTTAATTACAAAAACTTGAGTCTCGGACATCATGGTCAACTTGAAGAGGTAGTTTGATGAATTTGCAGCCATGTGTAATTATGTAAAATTTTATATCTTAGATGTTTGATGTTACAAATCTGAAACGTGTGCGCTCTGCTGCACGTGCCTTACTGTCGCCAGATGAAAACAAGATTCCTCTTAAGCGTAAGAAGGAGCTTCAAGAGATTGTACTGCAGCATTTTGGTGCTGAATATGGGACAGAACTCTCAAGAGACATGCTCCAGAAGGCGAACGAGATTGTCGTCAGGTGAGCTGCATTGATATCGGGTTTATTACGTGCTACTTAAAAACAATTTCTATCCTGAATCTGGAATAATATTGGTAATGTTCGCTGTCTGTAGTGTGATGAACGAAAACTACGAGCCTCATGGTCTGCGCGTGGTGATGCACTTTTCAAACCCAATGAATGACGGTTTAATGTATTTAGAGCAGAGGTGGCGAGAACATTTTCTCACAATGATGCGACCACGCTACCTTCCTGCTCTGTGGTCTGTGCAACACAATCATCAACGTCTGAAGCAGCGTATTGCTGAAGGTCTTATCCAGCCGGAAGAAGCTGGTGTCAGTGGCATCAATCTGGATGAATCCTGTAAGAACTTGACAGTCTAATTATTCATTCCAGTACCTTCGTTCTGTTTCGTTTACGGATTTTGTCGTAATAAATCTTAAGTGATTGTTAAAACTCTACTAGAGGTCAGATTTACAATTTGAGTTAGTCATGAATCTAAGTCACTGTCATGCTTTGGTTGTTGAAATTTTTCAGATGCTTGTAATATTCAAGTTAAGTGACAATAAGGTAAGTCAATTGCGTGATTGGCGATTGCTGAACTTCACTCATGATCACATCCAGGCAAAGCGTCATTCAACTGGGTCGGGTGTGGGAATTGATGGTCATTTGACTCCACCCAGTGCTCTGTCTTTGTTTAATTCTTGTTATATGACAAGCTTACATTGCCCTCCACATCGGTTTGTGATGATACGAGATGATTGGCTGAATTTTTATTATTTCTGCTTTGTTTTCAGGAGTTCCCAGGTTCAAATCTTGATCCAAACACCAGCCATCTAAACTGAGGTGTTCTATAGTTTTCCTCAGTCATCCAGGAACATGCCGGAACAATACCTCAAAACTTTGACGATGGCCACTTCCTTTTGTATCCTTTCCATTTCATTTCTTCATGAATCATCATTTCACTTTGTAGTCTGTGTTATTGTCATTATCATTAAATAAATCATATTTTAGTAAAATGGACGTGTGTGTGTGTGTGAAAATATAATATGATGCGTACTTCATGCTAGCTCATGACTCATCCATCATTGTTTAGATTGTGAATTTAAAGAAAAATATATCGCTGTGTATTTCACATATTCCTTTACATATGAGAGATGACCAATGAGAAACTTGGTTACAAAAGACTAAAATGATATTTGACTTCGTTTAATGAGATCATTCTCGGTCATTTGTACACACCATATAATATGTGGTGTGATCTTTTCAGTCATGCAAAAAGTATGGGCAAGATGCTGTGTTGCGCTACAGAATGTTTTGGGCGTGAAAAGAAGGTTGTGTTAGTAAGCAGAGGAAGTGTTTAAATGAAAAAATGTTTTATTTTTATAGGTTTTAATTCTGTAAATCAGGGGTTGGCAACCATTTCATTACTGTAGACTGCACTGGCTATACATAACATTGTCAAAGGCCACAGAAAAGAAATTGACAAGGGTTCCTAGTTCTTTTACTGATGTGTATTTGAAAGTGTGCAAGGCTTGCATTGGTAGCACTGGTATTACCGATTGCGGGAATTTACTGGGTATGAGTTTCTGGCAGTATAATATTACTTAAATACGAAATTTAATTTATTTCTGTTTTATCGTTCTCTAACATTCTAATGTCAGATTTCAAGTTTTGAGGTTAAGTGAGAAAATGTTCGTGATGCGCATGACTAAATTTTTGAAAATAATATTGCGTTCATTGAATTATTTCTAAGGTATCAGATTCAGAGTTATATAATCCCTCTGTGAGGAGTGATATCTTGCCAAAGTGAGAGGGCGTAGTACCCCGCATGACCCACACGACCGTGTTGGGAAAGCTTAGCTTTCCGACTGGTAGGAAGAGGCGAAGCTGAAAACACTCTAAAGGGCATAACGGATTCATTAGCCGTATTGAAGGCGATTTTTCTAAGGGAGAAAACACGGGGCAGATGGGACTCTTAGATACAGAGAAATTAACCCATCTAAGGGAAGGTCCCTTAACAGAAAACTGTACAGGCTTGGACACCACCGAAATGTGCCTGCCAGGTGAGAATTAAATTACTAAAAAAGCGAAGAGAATGTAGGTCTTTGCTTCGTAATGGGAAAATTAGTACCCAAACCTTGAAAAGGAAGAAGAAGAAGAATTCAGTCTCGGCTTCTGTGACCGATGTTTGGATTGAATTTTTATATTCTTTGATGTGTACCGATTCGTGGACTAACAGGAGCAGTAGCGTTTGCTAAGATATATTATATATTTTTGTCTTATTTGTGACGTGTGTTGTTTATTATCGGAATTTAGGAAGACAGGTTAACAAAAAACATTTCGTGGTCTCGGTACTGCAATGGAGGCGTCATTTAGTTAATATAAATTGTCAGTTTATAGTTCAGTTGAAAGCTGCAGCATGAAAGTGTCAAAAACCAGTGTATCCTCAGAGAACGTACCTCATTTTCACAAAGGTAAATTTGGGCATTCAGCAAGAAATAGCTTTGCATGTGCTGCTTCAGCGGACGAGTTTGAGGTAAATGTAAATTGTTCCCCGCGATACATTAAATTACGTGGACAAGTTCCAAATAAAAAGGAGAATTCAATTGATTCAGAATCAGAACAATTTTCGCTCACTTCGATAAACAGTAGTGACAAGACTTCATGGCCAGACTTAACCAAGTTAATCCCATTCCACCAACGTGGACATGAATCAAAACTGGAAATTTTGGTTTGTAATGATCAACATTTATTAGAAAAAGATGTGAAAGTAGGAAGTAAAGTAAAAGAAATTGAAGACAGTAGTGTGTTTATTGGACCACTTCATGCCTCTGATTATTCATGTAAGACTACAGAGTGCAGTTCTCTTGATAAAGAGCAGTTCCATGGCTCAGCTGCAACAGTGGAAGTTGAGAAGAATTTTGCTAAAAGTACATATAAGTTTCATATCAGTTCATCAAGGAAGCCACAAGTTTCTTCTGGTACTCATTACCATATAAATGAAATGGACAACAATGCTAACTGTGATATTAATGGAGTTGCCTTTAAAGAAGAACAGATGTGTGGTAATCATTCAGCTACTGCGGGAACATCCAAAGTGTTTTATGATGTTGCATCAAGTAGCAATGTGAAATTGACATTTGAACATTTGGAGAAGGGAAAGAATTTACCAATGTCTCAGTCAAAAGAACAAGAGATCACAGTTGGTAGGAGTAGTAACACTTCTTCAAATCAGAGAAAGAAAGCGTGGAAGGAGGAGAAGAAACGAGTCCGGGAAGAAGAAACGAGGAGAAGAATGGTTGCACCAAAGGGACAGAGGGTGAGATTGGTCAGC